AGAAAATTATGGCATCTTCCCTTGATTGGCTATTAGGCAGCCTTTACAAACAATGCAATGATATGAGAAATGCTTAAGTTATGGTAAGTTTAAAAACCTCAGGATGCAAATCGGCTTATTTTAATCATGATCCACCTAGCATTTAGGTTGTGGTCAATCCCACATCATGTATTTTTGTGGGTGCAGTTCCCAGGAAAGAGGGGGAATAAAAACTGCAAGTATAAAGTGTCTTGTTGGCTTGCAGTCTTCTTGTCTACCTTTTTGCCTATCCACTATGTAAAGACTCCCCTCTCTTCCTTAATATGGGCAATTTCTACTGATGACTCATTGTTCTAAGAATTCTCTCCCCTCCTCCTGCATCCTCAGTGCCCCATCTTTGGCTGGTGTGAAGGAAGGTGTGCTTGTGGCAGGGCCAGTTCTCTCTTTCTCAGTATGTTCTGGAGTGGGTATGTAGCCCCATTTTCTAGTGGTTACCTTGACATCATGAAGTTCTTATGTCTCTTTTGCTCTAGATTTGGGCAACAGTCATTCATTGGGCAACAGGAAATAACACAAGTCAGCATCTTCTTAAAAATAAAGTAATTCAGGAAGGTGGACCACTAATAGTTTCTAATCTAGAGAGCAAAGGAGTGGAAATATTTATCACACACAAAGTACTAGTGCCTTTTACTAATCAAGACAAAAATTAACAGGAAAAAGACAAACACATTATAGTGAAACATGTTTTCATTGTTAGTGAAAGACAAATACATATAGTGAAAATGTGAGTTTCTGGCATCAGGAAACACGCAGAATAGATGCTGGTCATCTATTCTGCGTGTTTCCTGATGCCAGAAACTCACATTTTCTCAGGGGAAATTCTTCCCCATAATTCTCAGGCTTTAAGTTTTTGTAAAATTCATTAAACTCAAAGATTCGACTTATGTGCCTTGATTAACTTAAGCAAATCAATGAAAGCCATCCCCATGACCACAGCGATTGATTAGGAATTGGGTTCCTAAGTCCGTCAAATCTGAAAGGGCCTAGTGATGTTTTTTCCAATGGAAACACAGACTCACTTTTTCCTGCAGACAATGAATAAGGATTCATGTAACACTGGCAGGTACTGGCAGCCACCCCAGGCCTCCCACAGGAAAGGCAGATCAGAAAGAGAAGCAAAGCGGGCCCATGAGATACCACGGGGCTGCTGCGTCCAGCCTTGCTTGGCACTAGGGCCACTTTTATACCTTACAGTCTTGGAGCCACAAGGTGCGTTTACTCAGGCCTCTTTGAGTTTGGTTTGCTTCTTTGTTTTCTGCCTGGAAACTGACAGCATCCTGAGAGATAGAGAGATCTGTATCTGTACAAAGGTACGGGGTCTGTTGAAAGTCACAGGTCCTGACTGAAGTGTGGAACTGGCCGAAATGAGAAAGCAGGAGGTAATTTGGTGAGGACCTTGTTAAATGGAAGTGATTTTTAAACCTTACATGCATCAGAATTACCTGGAGCCTTGTTAAAACACAGTTTGCTGGGCCCTGGTCCATTAAGAAGTGATGTGGGGCTGAGAATGTGTGTTTATACCATGTTTCCAGATGATATTCACAATGCTGTCCTGTCTGGGCACTACCTTTTGCAATACCCATTAGAAGGTATTGCACATGCTGGTTGAGCTATGGTCTGTCTTATTTTGGTGCTGAAAGCCTGTGCCAAATACTAAGTCTGCAATATTAAGGAGTTTGATAGAAAAGATTCTGAATATTGGAGTTTGGTAGCTGTGTATTATATCAGTGAGGTCCTTTAAAAAATAGTTTAGGCTACTTTGAAATGGGTTTATTTGAAATTGAAAAAGGAAGAAATTCAACTTGCTAAAAAAGGCTCTTCCAACCTGTTGACTGAGAACCCAGTAATCTGGAGACTTGAAGGGCTGTAAATGCAGGATTTTCTACTCTAAGATAAAGTTAGCATGAGCAGAGACAGGAAGATGAGAGACTTAACAAGGCCAAGGGTCAAATATTCATCACCTTCACATGGGCTAAGATGCAGGCAGAGGTCTGTCATCAGAGGCTGGGAGGTAGGGGTGACAACCGCGGTACGGTCTGTGCTAGAAAGTGCACATCCCCATCCCCAGTTAAAATGCAAATGCAAACTATGTAACTGACAACCTCTCTGCTTCTGGCTACCTAGCCCATAAATTGATCAGAAGCAAATGGTAGCCTATGAACATTAGAAGGGAGTCACATTGCCAAAGAAACCATAAGACTGGCTCCAAACAGTCATTGATTACACAATACCTAAGGCAACCTCAGGCTAACTCACACAGACAGGAAGTCAGCAGTCTCCAGAAAGCAGCCACATTGCACATCTCAGATTGTCCATGGAGGACATTCCCCTAAGAAGAAGAGCTAGGGACTGCCAGACAGGCTGAAGTACTTAAAAATGGAATTCCTGTTCTCCCATTCCCTAACAGGGATCTTTGTTCAGCTTGCTCTGCTTGTATAACACTAGTATGTAGGGAGTGTTGGGCATGATTAAACTTTACTTAGCTTTGGGTTTCTGGATCTTGAGAAACAATTCAGTGCAGGCAAATTTTGTGTGCCCCTATATTTTTTCCTGAAAGGCAATAAAAAATGAATGATGACACCTTCACTGCATTTATGGGGACAAAGGCTGCCTGTGTGTGTGTGTGTGTGTGTGTGTGTGTGTGTGAGAGAGAGAGAGAGAGAGAGAAAGAGAGGGAGAGAGAAAGAGGGAGAGAGAGAGAAAGAGAGAGAGAGAAAGAGAGAGAGAAACCTTCTCCAAAGGATGTGTTTGCTGCTCTACCCTCATTATATGAAAGCCATCATAGCATCAAAACTCTGTAAGCCAGGCTGAGCTCTACCCTCTCTGCATCAGCTCAGAATCTCTACCAGAAGGTGGTTGTTATGGCTAGAATATCACCCATCAAAAAATAGGGTAAGACGAGACCAGAGAGGTAAGCTATGGAAAATAACTCGAAGTTTTTTTTTTTTTTTTGAAACAGAGTCTCGCTCTGTCGCCACGCGCCAGGCTGGAGTGTAGTGGCGTGATCTCAGCTCACTGCAACCTCTGCCTCCCGAGCTCAAGCAATTCTCCTGCCTCAGCCTCCTGAGTAGCTGGGACTACAGGCGCATGCCACCAAGCCCAGCTAATTTTTGTATTTTTAGTAGAGACGGGGTTTCACCATGTTGGCCAGGATGGTCTTGATCTCTTGACCTCTTGATCCACCCGCCTCAGCCTCCCAAAGTGCTGGGATTACAGATGTGAGCCACCACACTCGGTCCATAACTCAAAGTTTTAAAAGTGCAGAATATAAAAAGAAAATACCCTCATTCCTAAAACAAAACAAAACGAAACAAACAATTTATTTCCTCAAAGAAATGACAACTATTTGATGTGTATCCTTCCAGAATTTGCCTATGTAAATATATATGTGTATATGGCTTTTAAAAATAAAAACAAAATAATATCCTTTACAGATAGTTCTGTAGCATATGTAGAGAGTATATATGAATATGCTGAATGTAAATAGATATACCTTTTGCATGTAATATTATGGACACTTTCCATAGATATAGATGTGTGTTTTTTTTTTTTACTGACTGCAGAATATTCCATTGATGAACATCTTAATCCTCTACTTATTAATCCCCTACTGATGACTGTTTGCATTTGCTTGCTTTTTACCAACCATACTGCAAAGAATATCTTCATGTCTACATATTCTTATCTTTTGGCAGCATTTCTGTAAAACAGGTTCCTAGAAATGGAACCAGGTCAAATGGGATGTAGGTCACATAGTATGTGCATTTTGATATTTGCTAAGTAGTAGTGTTCAGTTACACTTTAAAGAGTTTGAACACTACAATTCTAAACGTGTTTGGACACAAGAATTAGATTATTTTAAACAAATTGAAATAAGCATAGCTCATAAAAACACATTTGGTTTTCACACAAATATTTTGAATTTCTCTTCCTTCTACAAAAAGGACCCTAGCTTAGTATGCATTTCTTGTACTAATGCAAGCAATCCATCTGTTAAATAACGTACCTTTCACAGTAAACTTATAAAGCAGAATTCTGCTCCACACAGAAGCTGGTTGTCTTTTCCTTTTTAAACATTAGTTATTTATTTTGTAGAGTGCAGATTCTAGAGAAATGATGTATAATACACCTGCTGCCGTATGCAGATAGTTACCACACTTAGAGAATAGTGGTGAATTCTGTTGACAGTGGCTCTCAGTCATCAGCGTGCTAGGGAACACTTCGTAAGCTTGATAAAAATGTCAGTTCCCAGGTCTATACCCAAAGATTCTGAAATAAGTGGCTTAAATGATCACTGCTCACTCTATGTCAACTCAGAATCCTGACTAGAAAGTGGTTGCAATGCGTGAAATATCATCCGTTAAAGAATAGGGTAAGATTTGAATATGGGTGGATCATCTTTTGGGAAATTACTTGGTCAGTGGCTAAGAGCATGGTCTGTAGTTCAATAAAAGCCCAGTTTTGGAACTCAGTTGTACCGTTTACATGCTGTGTAACCTCAGCCAAGTTGCCTCACCTTTCTGAGCCCTGGGATACTTTTCTGTCAAATGGAGATATTAATAGTACCTAAGTTGTACTATTGCATTGGTAAAAATAAATGAACAATGCATAAAAAGCACTCAGTAGAAGTAAGCCTCAAAAATGTAGGTAATTGCTATTAAAAGCTTGAGTCATCATGAACAGGCACTTCAGAATACTCTGCTTAACGGTGTCCATTCAAGTAATAAATTCTCCTAAAGCAGAGGAATTCTCCTAGAGCATGCATATTATGATTTAACTCGTAACATATTTGTAGTTTCAATGTTCCAGCACTGTGCCCCCACTGTGAAGTGGATGACTCTGTGCCTACTCCCCGACTCTCCCAATTTCCCTCCGTTGCACATCTTCCTAATCTTTGCCTATGATTCCTCTTAACCGGTGGTTTTGACTTACCAGAAAAACAAAACCAAACTCAATACTGGTTTACCTTTTAAAAGAGCATCTTTATTATTTCAAATATAATAACAAAAGCATCTGATTCACATTTGTCAGTCTGGTGGCTTTGGTACCCTGACTGCCTACAGCAGGCCGATGACAGCCACTTGGTTGTCACCAAACACAGTGTGAGGGAAGAGGAGGGGACAGGGGGAACTCTCAGAACAAGCAATCACAAACATGCTGTGAAATTGACAATAAATTATAAAACTAAATAGTATAAATAAATTAAAGTTTAAGTTAAGAAGAGTCCCAGAGTGTGGCTGTTTGGCAACAGCCAGTCCATAGGAGAGGTAGCTGTGGAGGCCACAGGGATGTTCCCAAGGCTCGGGTTCCTGCTCCCCACTGGGCCCACCGTGGTCGCTGGGCCTCGAAGCTTCTGGGCCCCTCAGGCATTCAGTTCCAGGTCGCTGACATATTTCTGGACCCACTCCTGGCTGGGGTCAGCACAGACCTGCCGACCTCTCTTGGTTAGGAAGCTGTGAAGAAGGGAGGAATTCAGCAGGGGAATCCTGGGCCCCCCATGGCCCCTTCATCCCTCTCTGTCCTGGGCAGCTCAGGGTCTGCTTGCTTTCTCCGGGAACCCCTGCCTATCTCCGTCTAGAGAGCTGCTCTCAGTGACTCACAGAGGTGGCCTCAGAGGGTCCTGCTGCCTCCTTCTTCCTGTCCCTTTCCTCTGAGCTGGGGAAGCCCTTCCTGACTCTGTAACACCCACCCCACTCTAGCCCCAAGTCAAGTCACACCTTGGAGCCCTGGGTCCTGTATCCCTGATAGGCTCTGGAAGGCTGGCCCTTTCCGGAATGGCCTTCTGGCCCATCTCTGCCTCACCCAGACCCTCCCAACCTCCCTAGAGATGAGCAGGAAGACTGGCACTTACATGATTCCGGGCTTGGAGCACTGGCTGCTGGTCTCAAAGTAGTCAGCTATGAAATTCTGTGGAATCTTCCGGGAGATGTACCTGAAGCAGCAGGCGGTCGGCGTGTCAGCACCAGCTGTGGAGAAAGGAAGAGAATGGGTCTGAGACACAGCTCACAGGAAAAGGTCAGGTAGCTTCTGATCCCCAGGCGGGTGAGGAAGGTAGGCTTGTTCAGATCAAGTGACTGGAAAGCATTTGGGCATTTTTGCCGAGAAATGTCTGTCTTTGTTTCTGTCTATATTCTTCTTTCCCCTGGACTCTTCAGAGCGGGTTCTCTGTTTCTCTGTGTGATCCAGATACCTGAATGGACTGTTCTCTTAGCGCTCTTCAGAGAATTTCGTCTGGTTCAAGAAGTCATACCCCAACCCAAGAGAAGCCTTGGACATCTCTCGTAAGACATTCAAGGGACAGAGCTCTTGGGAGATCTAAGATGAGCTGGAGGGTGAATAACAGACCTCACTGGGAAGTGACCAGCCCTGGATTCTGCCTCTTGCAAACTAATTTGTTTCGAACCCTGCTTTTCTATCTGTACAAGGGATTGTAATTCCCCTGCCTCTGCCTAGATTCTCGTATCTGGAGATTAGGATGGCTAAGACCCCTTATACAGATGAAAAATACAGCCTTGAAAAGAAAGACCAAGATGTTTTGCAACCCTTTAACAAGTTCTCTCTTTTCTCTTGGGGTCTCTTAGGCCACAAGAAAAGACTGATGTGGTCTAACTGTGGCCAGAGAGTGGTGATAGCCGCAACAACTACATGGACTCACGTGGTGCAGAGAAGACCTGGCTGCAGAGAGCCATGGTGCAGAGGAGGATGGCAAGGGCAGCAGCAGAAACCTTCATGGTTCTGAGCAGGTGATGGAATGTGGGCTCGAGTGTCTGCAGAACCAAGAAGGGACTGGCCACTCTCTGCTGCCTGCGTCCTTCTGAAGTTCGAAGCCATCTCTTCTTCTCTTTATAGGCAACCCTGGCGGATGGGGAAACAGAATCTGGGGGTGAGGAGGGAAATTTTTAAGCATAGTGATGCTGTCATGCTGAGTGTTGCATAATTCAGGGTCTGTAGTGACCACAGGGGCTCAGGATATCCAAGAATAGCATCTCTGAGCTATTCTCTAACTCTCAGCTCCCAACTCATGACTGGTTCCAGCTTCATGATGAAATGGTTTCTCCTGTGAGTGTGAAGAGGAATGCATGTCAAGCCTATTTTTAGCTGGTCCCTTCTCATAAGAATTGGTCTATGCATGAACTCTCCAGCCCCATTCCTTCCCACAGAGCTGCAATTCTGCTTTCTCAGCCGCTCTAACCACAGGGATAAGGTCGATGGGCTGATGCTGTGGAGGGCTTCACAACCCTTCCTCCTCCCAGAGGCAAGAACTGAATAAAAGTTGGAGGAATCGAAAGCATGAAGTCACGTTTCAGTCATTTGTCTACCTCTTAGTCACAGAATGACTAAGGAACTGAGTTAAACACTAGCTGTGGATCATAAAAATGCTTCAGAGGTGGGTGTCAATATGTCAAGTGCCTAGAAATATTTATAGCTATTAACCAAGAAAAACCATTTCTAGTAAGGAATTCTGTGGAAACAACCCAAATATGGCGCCACCTTCGAACATAAAGATACCTGATCTAGCATCATTTTTAATTCTAAAATAAGCAAAGCTAAACTTTTCTGTATCAGGGAATGATCAAATTATGATATATCCACTAGATGATGTATTATTAAGTCCTTTAAATGAATGTAGTGGCACAAATATGTTTATAACATTATTCATTAAAAAAAGCAAGATACAACATTATACAAATTCTACAAAATTTGCAGAATTGTACAAATATATATATATATATTCTTTTTTTTTCATGCCAACCCTAGACATGGAAAAAATAAAAAGGCTTGGAAATACATGGCTTAAAGAATGAATAGTGCTTATATTTGTGTGATAGACCCATGGGTGATTAATTTTCTTATGTTTTTTCTTTTTCTGAATTTTTCTCATTTTATTTAGTGAGACTATATTACCTTTTTGGTCAGCCCACAAATTTGTGAACTAATTTTGTTTTAAAACATTTACAACATTACTGGCTGAAAAGTGGGTTGTTGTCAGTTGTTTAATCTGAAAGAAATTATTGATAAATATGCTAAAGTTTCTGTTCAAAGGCCTTTGCCAAAATGAAGTTTTGTTTTCCCAATTCGTTGAACCATTTTAAGGATCTTATACTATATTTACATAAATCATGCCATACTGAAGCAGGTTTTTCCTTATTCTTTTCAAAATGTAATTTCAGTAGTGTGGAAAGGTCTCTACCTTCTCAGCCAGATTATATGCTTTTTTTTATTTTCCATACTTTATTATTTTATTCTTTCATAATCAATCAGCATACCTCACTTTATAATGAGAAATAGATTTAGTTGGTTTTAATGGCCTTTGTTTCTGAGCTGCCCTGTTCTCACAGGGGCAGGTAGAGTAGTATGTGGACAGGTAATTGTAGCACTTAGCTCCTAGTGGAAAAAGAAAGGAAAGCTCAGAACCCCATGAGGGGAAGAAGTGGCCTTCCACCAGAGGGCGGAGAAGGCTTCATGGAAGGGATGGAACTTTAGTTGTGTCTGGATAATTGCCCTGGATTTAGGCGTCTATAGAGGGGTGGGCAGTGGAGGGCTAGCTGATGCAGAGTCCTGTGTGTGACATTATGGGCTTGGAGGAAAGAGGGGCTGCTTCAGTGGAGCTGCAGAGCGGTGGGGGTGAATATGGACGAAAAAGCTAAATTGGGACCAAGCTAGGACAGGCCTTGAATTCCCCCAAAGGGGTTAGAGTTGGTATGTTTGATACCGGAGAACAATGGAGGACAGAGCCAAATGGGACTACGTCTTTGGAATTCTGCCCTTCCTAAGCGCCTATAGAGTTTAGGTCTTCTCACACACATGAGCTCTGTTTGCATCCTACCCCAATGAATGCTAATTGTTTCCATCCTACCCCAATGAATGCTAATGCCAGTCTTGAGGTAGGAGAAGCAGCGGCAAGATCAGGGGTCACGATAGGTTTCACTGGAGTTTTGGCATCCACATATCTTCCCATATTGCTACCAATTCCAAATAAAGGCAACTTTGCCACTTGTTTCATTAGAAACCTACATCACAGGCAATGCCTCCTTCTCACCCCTCCCTCTGCCTCCAAGCTCTCGGTTGATACCCCAAATTGCATTCTCTTACTCACTTGTTAGGGGAACCCCCACCATATACTCGTGATTCCGTTTCTGAGAGCTGGCTTCTATGAGTTGAGGAGAGTGAGAAAAGGAAATGGAAACTGCTGAATCAGTCCGTTTTCTGATAAGGGGCATCCTCTACCTCTGTGATTACAACCCAGTGTGTTATAATTAGTTACCGACGTAATTTGCTCTTCAAAAATCTAGACCATGTCCTGTTGATTTTATTTTAATTTATTTTCTCAAGAAGTTTATAGTTTAATAAAGGCAATGTGGGAGTTTGAAAACAAACTTTTATTTTGTGCTAACGATAGATTAGTAACTACACAAATTTTAGTTCACGATAAGTAATACTTATCAAGTGATCAGCATGTGCAAATTTTAATAATAGGGATTTACATGTTTGAACTCTTAATAGTCAAAACAACCCTACGATTTAGTTACCATGATACTTTCTCAGCTGAACAGGTGAAGAAACCTGATCAGCTGAGAAAACAGTTAAGCAATTTTCCTATGGCCATAAAGCTGATGACTAGCAGAGCAGAGATTCACATCCAGGTAGTCTGACTCTAGGTACCACACACTACACATCTTGTACCTCAACTTATTATATTTGATTCTTACAACAATCCTGTGTGCTGCTGCCCATGCTTTGAGGCTGGGCATTGCTTTCCTTCCAGATTCTGGTCCTGAGGCTCCAATTTCCCGAGTGTCACCCTCTGCTATCTTCTTTGGCAGCAGGTCCCCCAGGGATGGGTTCACTGATGATGACACCTTGTTTGGCCCAACTTTGGCCTCCTTTTCTCATATATGGTGTTCGTGGTCAGGTTGCAGCAGGTGTGGGCCCCGCCTTTCATGCAGGCAGAAGCAGGACCCTGGAGTCTCCTGTCTAGCATCTTAGACAGACAATGTCTCATTGGCACAGCCCCTTCTTTCTGCAGCCAACCCCTTATTTCCTGCCCTAGTCCTTGTCATTTTCTCTGGCCATTTCTTGCATGTGTGCCGTAGGTCAGGGCATATGTCTTGGTACTGGAACAGCTCCCTCCCCCCATCCCTTGCCCCTCCTTCCGTATTCTCTACCCAATAAAAAGTGCCTCTTCCTATCAATCTTCCAAGCTGGAAAGCTGGGAGTCACCCTTGTCTCCTCTTTCTCTGTCATCTCCTATACCTATTCAATCACCAACTCTAGTCTACATTCCATTTTACATGCATCTGCCTCTCACCATTTCCACTGCCTCTGACTTAGGTCAGGTCCTTATGGTTTCTCACCATGACAACTAGAAGAGGGTCCTAGCAACTGTTTTTTCTTCTAGCTTTGTCATTTATATATTTATTTACTTGCTTATTTTGAGACAAAGTATCACTCTGGCCCGGGCTGTAGTGCAGTGGCTTGATCTTGGCTCACTGCAACCTCCGCTTCCCAGGCTCAAGTAATTATTGTGCCACAGCCTCCCAAGTAGCTGGGATTACAGGCATGTGCCACCATGCCTGGCTAATTTTTTTGTATTTTTTGTGGAAACCAGGTTTTACCATGTTGGCCAGGCTGGTCTCGAACTCCTGACCTCAAGTGATCTGCCTGCTTCAGCCTACCAAGTGCTGGGATTACAGGTGTGAGCCACCATGCCTGGCCTAGTTTTGTCTCTTTTTAATCTATCCCACCATACAGCATCCAATATAATTTTGTTAAAGCTCAAATCAGTCTCTCTTTCTCTCCTTTTAAAATCTTGCAAGCATTCTGCATAATTTCTGGCACGAAATGGAAGCTTCTATGTAACTTGACCCCTGTCTACCTCTTTGGCCTCATGGCTTTCCATGTTCAGACTTCCTGAAAACCAAGACTCAGGCTTTTTGCGCTACCTGTGGTTCCTTAAATGTGCAGCTCCCTTCTCTGCTTTTAATGAAGGAAGCGTTAACTTGGTAAAGCACAATTTCCCCTTCTTGTAAGCCACAGGGCAGGGTGAAATTCTATGAATGTGGGCACATCCCGTGACAGTTGTCGAGATTAATATTTAGAACAGTTAAGGGAAAACACTACAAAATTCCCCAAATTTTCTTTTCTTTTCTTTTTATCTTTCTTTTTTTTTTAGACGGAGTTTCACTCTGTTGCCCAGGCTGGAGTGCAGTGACATAATCTCAGCTCACTACAACCTCTGCCCCGCCTTCCTCTCCCGCAAGGTTCAAGTGATTCTACTACCTCAGCCTCCTGAGTAGCTGGGATTACAGGCGCCCACCACGCCTGGCTAATTTTTGTATTTTTAGTAGAGACAGGGTTTCACCATGTTGACCAGGCTGGTCTCGAACACCTGACCTCAAGCAATTGCCTGCCTTGGCCTCCCAAAGTGCTGGGATTATAGGCGTGAGCCTCCAAACCGTGGCCTGTAATTCCCCAAATTTTCTAAGAAAAAGAGAGAAATCCATGGATCTTGGTGTTCAAAGGCATGCAAAATGCAAAACAGAAAAGACATTTTACATCAAAATAACAGAAACTTTGGCTGTTATGCTAATACAGCACACTTCCCTTTTCTGATTTATTCATCTTCTAGAGCCAGACATCTTGGCTTCAGTTTCAAATCTGTTGTGTGACAGCTGTGTGTTTTTCTATAGGTTACGTATCTCTCTGTGCTTCAGTTTCCTCGAGTGTAAAAGGCGATAATTACAGCATCTACCTCAGAGGGCCACTGTGAGGATTAAATGCATTAATATCTGTGAAAGGCATAGAACATTACTGGTTCATAGTAAGTGCTATGTTAAGTGCTATCTACTGTGATTACTATTACCATTTTGTTATTATTGAAATATTTAATACATCCATTTTACATCAAAAATAAGTGCAGTTCTCTTGTTCTTTGCCCGTATACCCCTGTCCCTGTTTTTGCCTGGCTAATCTCAGTTC